GCAAAATTGTGACACAACTACATTGGTAGGCATTCACACTAGGTTTATATACTGTACATGACTAATAGCCCTAGTAACCATACTAAGAAAAATTATGAAAGTTGTGTACACTAAAAGCTCAGCTAGCTCTGTCTTTAGGTAGAATACATTATGAATAATAATAATAAAATCACTTTATTAACCCTTTACAATTTCTTGCATTAGGAATTGTTTTTCCGCATACCCCAGCTTGCTCTCCATGAGGCACACAGATACACAGATAGGTAGAGAGCCTGGGGTCAGAGCGCAGGGTCTGCCATTGTACGGCGCTCCTGGAGCAGTTGAGGTTAAGGGCCTTCCTCAGGAGCCCAACGGAGTAGGGTTCCTCTGCCGGCTGTGGGATTTGAACCCACATTTCAATACATTTGAATTTCAATACATTTGAATTACATTTACAATGTATTTGAATACACAAGGCCTGATTGAAATATGAATGATGTCTGTATTATTTTTTAAACGTTTGTCTGTGGAATATTCCAAATACTGTAAGTTATGACCCTATAATATTTTATTTTTTATTTTAATATTTTATGACCCTATTATAATTATCTTTATATAGCCCCTTTCATTTCTCAAGGTGCTGTACATTTAAAACAATTATCAGCAAATTATTTAAAATGCTATTAGGATGTTAAAAGTCACTGTTGTTTCTTTAGCATTTGATGCTTCAATGCTTCATTTACCATAATTAATTTGAAGCTGCGACACTCATCAAGTTAAGTATAACGGTATGCCCTTCAAAGGTTAAATGTATATTCAGCTACTTCCTTCATTAGTCACTCTCCTGTGAAGATCAGTGCAGTGGAAATTACCCTATAAAATTAAGCTGTCAAGAGAAAAGCCTTGAAGCCTTATGGTCTGACACTTTCCAATAATTAGCTTCAGCAAGAACAATAAGAGAAATCTTGTCATAGCTGGGCAGACAGACCTCTGACCTGACTTCTTGCTCACTTGCACTGAATCTGTTTTTTGAAATCCATCAAAGTCTAGCCCTGTGAGCATTAGATTGTGGTCTTGAGAGAAATCATCCTGTGAACCTTTTACTTGCTTCTGGTAGTTATCGTACTGACAATCTTTTTGTGGAAAAAAAATCAGGATACCCTCTTCACGTTATTGGGAGTTGTGTATGCAATCATAAAGGGCAGCCAGTTTTTCGAGACAACATGTTGGAGAAATGGTTCCATTGCAGTCTTTGAGTTACAATGCACATAATGTTTGAGGGAATGCACATTCCTTCCTCTCCAGAATTTTACGACCACTGACCACTTTTTTTATTTTTGCCATTCTGTTCATTTACTATGAGTGTCTTACAAGTGCCTTTTCGAATATGTCACATTCTCAACGTAAACAAGGTGTCACAATGTAAGGGTATAATTACCACAACCCTCCACCCATTTTTAAAAATCATTACTCATGTCCCAGATGCTTTATGAAATATTTGTGTTCTTGTGTGTAGTTATAAAAGATTTATCAAATTAAATTAGCCTGTCTATAGAACTTCGCCTATATTTCAGGCATTTTCACTAGTGAAAAATATATTTTTCCTCGACATGTATTGTGTGAATGCAGGTGCAGAAGTGTGACAATAAAAGCTCAAGCCCCCTGACTTGTTTCGCTAGTTTAGAAAAAAAAATGATTAGGATGGACAGGAAATACAGTAGGTCTCTTCGTAGCATTATGCATGTACACCGCTTCTCCACTGATGAGTTGCATAAGAAAGCATAGACAAAGCTGCACAAGATAGTCATCAAAAAGAGATCTCAGAATACTATGTTAATACAGAATCATTTGATTTTATTGACAATGAAATTGTCAGCATTAACTTTAGTCTCTAGATGACACCATTCACAACTACTTTTGACTTCCATAAAAGCAAAGAACAATTCCAGCTACAGTATCACTTTCAATTTTACACTTACCTCTTTCCAATGATCTGATACCCCAGTGAGTGTCTGTAGGGCACATTCTGTTGTGTGCCAATAGATGACCTGAATCACATTTTTAATGTATTTACTGTAGGTCTGTGCAACCATACATGTATGGTACGGTACTTCATCTGCCAACTTCTGTAGTAAAAACTAGAGCAAATGGCCATAAAAGACACAACAGTTTATATGACTATATATGACACGAAAAAAGAGATGATACAGCATAGAGTATTCCTCCAACCCAAATTAAAATGTTCTGTTAACTTTTAAAGTATTTTAATATTAATTGAAACTTTAGTCAAATGAAAAAAAAATGGCAAACTTCCTGTTTTGAGTGCAGTGGAAATATCTATTAAATGTATTTTCCTCTTGGTACTTTCTGTCAATAATATTGAGTTTGAGACTTTATTCATCAAATGTAATGTTCAGCACTGTCTCCCACTACCAGCTTTTTATGTAGGTAAAGTAATTTTTCAAAAACCAACATTAATCATTCAAACCCTGCAATTTAGAAAAGCTATTTGTATTACAAAATGACAAAACAGAGCAAACAAAAACCCATATAATGTATTAGATAGTCACGAAGAAGGTTAATTGCAATAGCTTAATGATGGAAATGCTATTGGAAAAAGCAGAAAAGTGTGTTACAGTTGCAGTTGCTCATTTTAAAATGGCCGACCTCCACAATGTTGTTCTCTGTGTTCAAGTGTTGAAGATTTCTGTAAAGCATAATGTTACAATTTTGTAATCTGGCAGCCAGGCACTTAATAGAAAAAAGATTTGATACTGTGCTTTAGTGCCAAGTTGGCTTCATTTGCCCAGTGTTTAACAAAGTCTTTACAAATCAAATCTTTGTGCAAAGCTAGATGTGTTTCTTCAGTTCTGCAAATAACTGACCTACAGTATTGTTTGTACTTTGGACTCTTTGTAAACATTATATATCTTTACCTTGGCTGCTTGTGTGCAATCATATGTCTTAGTGTTTTCATTGCTTATTATATAAACACCAAATCAAAACTCCAGGAGCAATGGTTGCTGTTATATGTTTTCAAAATTCTACCATACAGTATGTATCTCATTACAGCAAGGGGGTCCATACTAATATTAGCCTTATCTACTGCATGCTTTGGCCTTCAATTATATCTGTGACATTGTGCTGCTTTAAATGATACCTTTTCAAGGATGGTTGATGATAACAGATAAGATCTGAATATAAATATTACATAGGAGAAAACAATGTCACAGGGGCAATAGTACAATTTTCAAAGGCCACTTGCCAAGATATATTTCATCCAGAACCTTGAAAAAGACTAGACCACTGCCATTGCTATTACTAAACCTCAACTTACCACAGACTGATTTACCTGCTGCTTAAATTACTCAATTCAAGGCAGGAAAATAATGGTTTCTGTGTGATCTGACTGGGATTACAATGCTGACATTCTGAACTAATTGTTTTAGCCATGTATAAAAAACAGGTGTTCAGAAATGTGTACAGATTGCCATTTCCTTGATATTTTAAAATGAGCTACAACAATAAATAAACTTTGCCAAATAAACAAAATGTGAGATCCTGACACTGATGGTCATGCTTTTGGTTTCTCCCTTTGTACACAATGTAAATGACAATACTTTCCTTCATAAACTGTGGCATACTCAGTCCTGTGATGCTACAGAACACCACATACATCAAATACACACCACATACAAAAAATGAAAATTTCTAACAAATGCTAAGGACAGCCACCTTTGGTATTTTTTGGGGGGGGGGGTTTAAACTCAAATCAATGGATGAAAAATGAACAAAAAAAGTATTTTTAGTTTTATTAATTGAGCAAAGACATCTGGGGTGACCATACAAAGTTGTCATAGGATGAGTATGGTGCTAGAACTGTACAATGGACATGCATTCTCCTATATTTTTCAATGCCACTAAACTAACACGGAACAGAATTGCATGGAAATATATTCTAGTTTCCATTTTAAGTAACATATTAAGTAACAATTTTTAAAAAGCAATCAATTTAATGTACAAAGATAAAAAACTGTCTATTTTAGGTGTCTTGCTACTGTTTATGTAAGTTATTATTTAAGCATAATACATACTGTATATATTTCTAACTCTGTTACTCAGTTTACTTAATATTCTTTCGTATTACTGTTTTTTGCACTTGCAACTGAATTAACTGAAAACAGCTCAAATAGCATGTTAGTGAGATGATCCTTCAGGCTGAATGTTGATTCTTTGTTTTTGTGTCCTTCAGCTCCAGGGTATTAAACATTGGTGTGTGATCTTGATATCACCAGATAAAGGGACAGAAATATGTGTCCTGATAAATGATATTCAGGAAGAAATCATTAAAGAACAATAGAAACAAGGGTAGATTTCAATATTATATTTTGACATGACAACCTACATTTTATTAGAAGCAATAAAAATGTTTTTTTTTCCTGTTTTCCCATAACTTTTCACACGACATTCAAGACGATAAAATAATAAAGAGGCTATTTAAGTAATAGCGGATCAAGTAAAGAGGTCACTTTCCTTTCGTTGTAGACTTTAAAATTCGCAGCACTTGGCGCCTGTCTCTCCTCATTGACCCAACTAATTTTGTGTGGGCTAAATGAATACATGTAGCATATTCTCCCATTTTAAATGTATTTACCTTAATATTTATGACCGTGTATTTCCTTAAGGACAGCATGTACTCCAATGCTTTTGGATTTTTTTTTAACCACGGAATTAAAAAAAGGCTATTTTTTCTTTATTCTCTCGCTTTATTTTTACGGCGAGGTACTGCCAAAGTCGTTCAAAAATGAGATGTAGAGACACAAAGAGCTGGAAGCACAGGTCACAACACGTTATCGCCGGCGACGCACTTATAGAGTGGATACTACTGGATGCAGCTCTTAATACATTGTCTAAAACTAGTATCAAGTGCCTTGGTGCACGAAATTAGAGCAGGGTCAGTCTGAACAACGTCTAGGCGTGCAACTCAAGAACGACGCCGTGGATTAATGGAAGCTGAGTTAAAAACTGGGTAAAGAAAGGAGGTGTGTTTTGGGGAAGGGGGGGCGAGGAGGGTTCTGAATCAAGGGCTGACTCATCCTTCTCAGTTTTCCTTTCTTGGATTAAACCCCTTAAGGTTAGATGGGCAATTTTTCGTCTCTCACAAAACTGTTACACGAGGAAAACATACTGTATTGTTTTGCTTAGTTGTAGTTACAAAATCCTTTTGGACTTTAAAACTTTTTTACTGTGCTGTTTGCAGGCCAAACAGGTTTTGTTTTTAAAATTGCAAACGATAACAGTATGTTTTATTTTCAGGTTTTAGGATTATAACGTTTAATAAATTTGCTATTTTTGTATGCGAACTGATGTCCCTGCCTTTCACTACACGTTTTGCATTCAATGAAAGGATTTTTTTGTTGCAATTGGCAAAGCAGTCCACGGGAAAGATGTGATAGGAGTGAGAGAGCGCTCTCAGGTTTCCACTAATGTAGTTTTCATATCGAATAACCAATACAAATACAAACGGGTGTGTGCACTTAAGGAATACCGAGAGAACCCAAGATCAAAATCAATTTCATCATCGCAGTTTATACTATGTGAGCAGTCTAATAACGCTGTGGTAATACATATTATTATACTTAGTGTCTAAGGTCTTTTCCCCACTACCAGTCTGCTCGTAGGGATCTAATTTTCATACCCCGGCAGGAACTCCGAGTGCTCATAACTGACATGTGGTTTCTCCAATAGGCGTCTTTTCGACTCGTTGGGATTATACAGGGCATCCTGCTAACTTGAAGCTAAACTTGAGTAAACAGATCGGTGACAAACAGAGCCTGAGAAAATGCTTTAACCGGAGGGCAGAAACACGGGATTTACTCACCGGCGAGACCCTTATAAAATAAGGTAAGGAATCACGGTTGTGTTTTTTTTTAAATAGAAACCCAGCATTTGTGTAACATATTAAAAGACGGTTTCGAAACTTCTAATAACGAAGGGGTAAGTTTTCGGTCTTTATCAAAATGCGGGTTACAATGTTTATTTAAAAAATTATAGAACAAAGTACAATAAAATAACCAATAATAAAAAACGATGTACTAGAGGATACCCTTGCATTCAACACCTTTCCGCACTCGTATTTTACAGTATGAATGCGATAAACAACTAAAGGCATAATAGGACGCAAAAGCAAGCAGTGCAACCCAGTCACGTTTATTACTTTGTGGTTCATTTACAGTTAAATGACCAACTTTAGATGCGAATTAAATCTCTGGGCATATTTTATAAAGATTGTGTTTAGTTTATTTGTTGCCCAAAAATTAGCTTGATATTTCGCAATAGATAAGATAAGAGGAGTACAACACCACAAAACCCCATAGACAAACGTTAGCCCTTACATTTAAGTAAATTCAGTATGCTGATTTTGACATCCACATGATATAGTTGCCGCAGAAAGTAATGAGGTTTGTTATTATTGTGGCGGTTGCGTTGAAATATAATAATACAAAGTTTCTGGATCTACGGTTCTGTATAAATCTGAATGGAACCACACTTTTTGCCGCGTTTTGGATAATATGCTTTTAATATTACGTTTTAATTCGGTTTTCTGTGGCAAGGTCCATGTTTCTACCGCCACTTCGTTTTCTTAAGCTATATTGAAGTAAAGTTTGCGCGTATAAACCGATAAAGAACATATAAGATGCAAAAAGAGCAACATTGATTTCAAATAGGATTTCACATGAGAACGTTTCCATAGCATGTTGCATGTATTTCTCTTGGGAAAGGGAGATGCTTGCATATCTTTCATCAATAATAAGCCAATCCATAAAACAAATACTGTAAATCTAGAGGCTATTACTGTCTGACTTACATAGGAAATCTAAATTTTACTGGACTTTTACATCTGCATCAATTTCTACTTGTCTGTCACCCACATAATAGTGGCTTTTCAGTGTTAAAAACCACTTTCAAAATCACCTCCGCCTTCAATTAAACTCCCAACCATATCCATGAAATCAAAGTAAAGTTTGTATTTATTACACAGAGTTAGAAGAATGCGAGGAATCAGAGATCACAGTAAGCAATGCCTGAGCAGATCTGTTTTGTGATCATTTTGATTTCACCCACTACTAAGCTTATGATAAAAGGTTTCCCATTTGTCTGGATACCTTTAACATAGCCCGGATTGAAAATCCCTGCTCTAGAACAAAACGCATAATAATGTGTCTATAAAAGTCGAAGACCTTTTCATTTAGTGTTAGAATTTAAAATAATTTTAAGTAACAGGTGTCCATCTTTCTGAAGTTTTAACGGTTGTGCATTATCATGTGACTGCTTTGTGGCTTCTTATCAAATGTAAATGCAAGGTGTGTTCTGAACTGATACACTGTATGGAGACGTTACTGAGAGAAAAGTCGACTGTGAGTAAATGTGTCCCTTGTGTCTGGAGGGGAAGTTATACTGTAAACAGTCTGATCTGGATCCTAGGATCTCAATATGCAAAGCAATAAAAATTACATGGACCTCTCATAACCTGGACTTCAGAAAAATAATTATTATAATGGTACTTGAAGCACCATGATATCCCTACATCCAAGCACTGGAAGAGCTTTCTTTGGTTTCCCTTGCAATGCATCCTGAAAGTCTTGAACTTGCACTTATCTGTGTGATTCATTTTGGTGTCCTGCCAGGTATGGCTGCTTGGTGGTTTTTGTGAAGCTGAATCTGTAATATTGCGATTCACAATCACTCGTGTCCTAAAAAGTTCTTGGAGTCAAATCTCTTGATGCACTGAAAGGGAGAATTAGTGTTCCCCTCAACCAGATGGATTTCTTTAGTACTAGCTAAATTTAAAAGATCAAGGAAAATAGAGGAAAAATAGTCAACATCGTGTGTTTATTTACAATATTTTTTAAGTTAAGCCTCAGAGGCTCCAAGCTATAAATTTTTTTTTTTTCAGCTCACAGTTGTGGTTTCTAGTTGTCCAGGCAAATTAGAACAGATGAAAAGTTTTCTGGTGTTCAGGCATATTGAGTGCAGAACATATGTATTTCTTGAAGAGCATAGTCATGCATTGGTCAAGAGACAGAACCATGGGGAAGTTGTTGTAACCATTCAAATGAAATAGAGTTCAAAAGTTCAGTGTCCAAGTAGTGGAGTGGAATTGTTTTAGAAGGAAGTGTGTGCAATGCTGATTAGAACATGAGAGGAAATGTTTTTATGAATGTCTTGACACTCCTATTGAGCTTAAAAAAAAATTTTGTATCCTCAGATGTTCTTTGTTACAATGTGCCTGGAGCTGCCCTTAAAGTTAATGATTTATGGTTTTAAATTAGTACAGTGTAGAAATTGCATTTGAGGGAATTCCTTATATTGTATTACCACTGTGGCATTTTAAAACTGAGATGCTGCTCTCCAATACGTCTTTAGATTATCTGTGCATTGAGTGGGTGATTTGTTTGTGAAGTGTTTTGCTGGATTGAAAAATGCATGATATTTTCTGAAAACAATCATTAGAATTAAAGGTGAACATCTAGCAAGAAAATGATTTATATGGAATAAGAAATAGGTGGGTTACATTTTTTTGTTCCACTGTGAAGTTTTGAATGTTTTCCCATACTTTTTCAGTTCATTCAAACTATCTGTGAAAATACGATTCTTTGATCCTGGGATAATTTTGCCTTTGAAAAATAAACTGTTTCGTATTTTACTTGTATTTGAGGTTGGGGTGTTTTGTTTCATCTGGGTGTTTAAACACTAGGGTAGGAGTCAGGTCTGGAGGTGAATTAAATCAGTCAATGACTGCCAAGGAAAGCTTGTTATCTCACTGACAAAAGCGCTGCATATTGTAAGTTGTTGCTTTTAAGTCAGCAATCAGAGTTCAATTCCTCTTTGAACCTGCCTACCCCCTGAGCAGGTTCTGTAAACCTTTTTTGTTTTTTTTCCCCCATTGTTGGATCTTTGTATCAAAACCAAGTATACTACTAGGACATTAAAAACCATAACTTTGAAACTGAACCTGTAAAGAAAACATTAAATTTAAAGGCAATTAGCTACTGCACAGTCTTATTTGAATTGTTTCTCTTGCTTATTTTCTCTCGTCAACATCCCTGTAAACATTTATTAACATTTGTTTTACATTACATATCGGACCTTAACCTAATTGATTGTTAACCAATGAAGTGACTAAGAAGTCAAATTAATTGTCTCAGTCAGATGCTAATGGAAAGGTACCTCTAAAACCAGTGAGAAGCTGGCACTGGAGGATCAGGCACCAAAACCCCTGCTGATGAACGAGGTGTTTTCACTGAATTCTTATTGGTAAAATGAGGATGTATGTACTAGAATTTCACAGCTGCAAAACTTTAAAAAGTTCTGGTCAATAAAGCTATGAACACGGTCCTATACCTATACTGTAGGACAATATATTTTGCTAAATTGAACCAGAAAAAGACTGTGAAGTGCCCACTAAACACTCTGTGTGTGTTGTTGAAAATGCTGAATACAAAGTGTCATTCAAATGCCAATTTGGCTTATGGCCTGTTTTCTGAAGACCTTAATAACACTGTCTTTACCATATTTGGTTCTTTTGGTTCTCTAGTTTTCAGTTACTTTTTTGCGTCTTCCAATCCAAGTGGTTTATCTCTAGCTGAACGGGTTGGTTTTCTTTTTCCGCACAAGGGCTGTAATCTGGGTGGAAGCAGATCACACGCCAGAACCAGATGGCAGTTTAATTTCACTCAGGACCGCCACTTTGCAGTCCTGCGATGCTTAAAGTGCTTAAGTCAGGCTTCTATATACCTGGAGGGTAAATAACCTACAGCTCAATATCTCGAGAGGGACGTGCTGCATTCCTCATGCTGACAGATTTTTCATTCAACAACCCCATTCAAGATACCTAAATGGCTAGTGCTTCTGTCTTTGGGATTGTAAAATTCCAATGAATTACAGAATGACACTCTTGCATCAACATGATTTACCCTTAGCTTGGTCTGAAGTTTATGCATCGACAAGTCAAGTATGTTGTTGGAATGCCTCTTATAACCATAACCCATTAATTTATTTTTAAGATTCATCTCAGTTTCAGTTTTTAAACAAGAAATATTGTTTAAAATATTGTACAGAATCTTGAAATCCCTATGCTTAGATTTTTCCCTTTGCCCTTAAAGATTCCCATAAAACATATTTCATGGCCAGTTAACCTCACAAGTTGCTTTTGTAGAGGAAGAGAAGGGATGTTGATTTGGCAAAATAGATTGGGGTTATCAAACCTCAGTATATCATGATCATGATGTGACTATTCCCCTGTATTTTGTTCAATGTCTCAGTTACTTAATTCAACTAATTTACCCACTTGGAGCTTTATAGCATAATTTACTCAGTAAGTACTTTTTAATTTATTTAATCTGTTAAATTTTAGGAGCTAAAAAACAATTAAACATTTTTTTAATTTAGCTACAGTAAAAAAGGATTACTTAAGTAGGTCAGTTGTAAGTACTATTTGAAGAGAGTTTCTTTGCCACCTATTCTTGGGGACCCCAGAGTCTTGTTTTTTTCCAACTTGATTGAACTAATAATCAATAGACCATTTCAAATTGTTTTCGTCTCAGAAACAGTTGGAGATTTCAAGCTACCTGTTACAGCTTAAAAGTAAAAGTGAAATTTGCCACCTTGTTGAGAGCTGGAAATAAAGGTTTAATTGAGCAAATTATTTGAACCGGTGCCGTTAGGCACCAGTTAAGATCATCTGAAATTAAAACCAGAAAGGACCAGGGACACAGGAACCGGGGTTTGAAGACCCTGGGTTTGAGCAAAACCAGTAGAGACAGGTGTAGTACTCTAGGAGCAGGGGTAGCAGTTTAGCAGGTTTTATAAGTGATCCTTAGAGCTTCAGTTTTTTGATTATG